CACCTCTGCCCAAATTTGCATCTGAATGTCAGAGCCCTTATATGGTCAGAAAGGGGAACCGGAACTGCAGGAGCTTCCTATTTTTTTCCTCACAACTATGTCCATATTTAGTATACGGAAGAAAGACAATGGTGTTTTCACCGTACTGACATCACCGACAAGCCATTTTTGGGCTGTGGAATCAGAGCATCGTACTCCCATCTCTCCTCCTCCTTCCAAGCCGAGTCGAGGCGTTTCGTTTAAGCTATTTTTAGAAATGTGTGCAGAGTCGGCGTGTTCTCCCAGGGCTGCCTGAGCGCCCACATCAATGCAGGGGCGTTCGCAGACACAGAGAGAGCGGTAGTGAACGAGGAGAGGATGAGTGGGATGACACTCCACACTGCAGTCCTAGAGTAGCTCATCTCTCCACACAGGGAGTCATGCAGCAGAGCAGTTGTTCAAACTCTGACAGCATTGTGTAAATTAAGAATAACTGAATGAAACAGAGTGAGCCATCATTTCCTCTTCCTGTGCCGAGCTGTCAGGGCTGCGTGGTATCAGCTGTAATAAGTGATCAACACCCGTTTCCACAAACAAGTGTCCCCATAAGGAGATCCAGTTTATTTTGGGCTTTGAAAGTGGATAATTATCATGTAACGTTTTTTTTTTTGGTCCTAATTACTCAGTTTGAGCACTGCCTGCTCTGGCATGTGAGGGTGTACCCTTGTGTTCTTGTACAGTATGCAGCAGGAGTTTCTGTGAGTATGTGTGTGTCAGTGTTTGTGTGGAGGCAGCTGAAAACCACCATTAAACTGTTCCCCTGCCTCTGCTGTGGTTTCTTAAGCGACACACAGAGTGTTCCAGTGAAAATTACAAGCTAAATCACACACACACTAGAGAAGCTTTTTCAGAGAGCAGAAAAGAACATCTGCGTGTAATAACTCCTTCTTCAGATAACTGAGTTACTGATAACAGGAGTTAAAACATTATGGTTGGGTATCGGGAAGCAGGTATGAGTTGGAACTGAACTACAGTATCAAACAACTGTGAATTTGTTTGCAAGACATGCATTTAGATTGTCCTCATTTGATATCTGACAATTACTTTTCCAATATGCACTGCCTAGTCTTTACAATATAAAAGACAAGAACAGGAAAGTTAGTAAGTGTAACATTTTTAATGGCTTCAGTTGTGGTCAACTGATGCTAGGACATCCAACTCAAGTAAAACAAGTGTAAATCAACAAACAGTTAACTGGCTTATGGTTAGATACGGAATATTTATGCATCTGCACAATCCACCATGTGTAATCAACATCTATTTATTGATGCAAGCTTTCCATTAGGGACCACCTTCAAACATCCATCTTAGCTTCAGCACCTCGAACAAGCCTCTTCGTGGTGCTGGTGATCTTTATTTATTGGACTTAACCAAGAAGGAAACACAATATATCTCAGGATTTATGACAAATGAATAACACTCTAAAACCACGTGGATCCTCAGACCCATTGTTAAACCGGGAGGCTGCAGCAGGTTGTTTTCTACATTTCACTAAAGAAGGAGCCTTACATACCTCCACAGCTATGTTCACTATGTAAGATTATGCTACAGGAAAAAACACAATTACAACATCATTCATCTTAACCTTCAAAATTAAATTCATGACTCCACTTTAATGTCTGCCATTATATAAATAAAGGTCTTATGGTGACATAACTCATTAAGTGATCTCAACGTATTAAACTTTCATGCAAAAACAATTATAACAAAATTAATTGCTTGTTTTTTCCTTCAAGGAGAATAGAGACGATGTTATCCATTAAGTCTGGAGATTATCAGTGATGCTAATGAAATAAGTTAATTTATCAACAGTCCAATGCTTCTCCACCCTACATGACATTCTTTACTTTCTCCTTCAAGTTCAATTTCTCAAACCCAACTCCAAGTCTTCTCCTTATTTGGCCCCGTCACGTGCAGTTCCACATCCTCTGTTCATGTGCTAATGCCATTAGCTGCTGCTCATCTTAATACTCTGATTAATAATTACATTGTTTCAGTGAGTACAGTTCAAAGTGAATTCTGGCAGAAAAGGCTCTGCCACCTCAGAGAGTTCAAGCAGTTTAAAGTCCGGCCCCTTTTAATTCAGCTCTGTCGCGCCCAGACATTTCCCCCTCAACAAAACCCAATTAAATGCACAATTACAAGTTGGCCAGTTTTACAAATCTGCCTTCAGTCCTCATCAATTATGAAGTGCGAGGTAAAGCCCTGGGTTGAGTGATTAACACACACACACACACACACACACACGCACACACACACACTTATCTGCGGCTCTGTGGTCTTAGCTCTGGTCACAGTTAGAGACACGTGCCGGCTGAGGAAATGCCACACAAAAAACCAAATGCACGATCCTTCTTATCTGCTAATTAATAAGCTAGCAGGGCACTTTACTGTATGCCAAAACAATGGCACTCAGTGTTCCCTCTGACATCTTGTAGAACAAAATGTTCAGAAATCCAGACTTGTAGCAAACCACCACCACCTCTCATCATTATATAGTAACAGGCTACAGGAGGCAGATCAATGGCTTTGCCTAATGAGGAAAATGGCTGAAATTATCTCACTATCACTCCCTACCTACCAACGTAGTTTCAACCATCCAGTGTTTGCAGCTGTAAAACTATGCTAAAAAGATGCATTACTGTGCATTTGTAGAGATTGGGAAAAATTACTTCCATGCAAAAGAATGGCTTCAGAAGTCTGCTCCTGAATTCGTTTTTTACGATGACCTTAACCAAGCACGATGACCTTAACCAAGTACACAAAGTACTCGTCTTGTTGAAACATTGGAACAAATGTGCAATGATTTTATATATCTATGTTGTTATCCTTGTATTCTGTTTTGTTGTTTTTATGCTGATATGGACATATATGTCTGAAATAAATAAAATTGAATATTGGATGTGTCAGAGCTCCACCTATCACATGACCCTACCCATAAACATACTCTATCCATTGTCATCCAAGGAATAATTTAGCAGTTTTTATGTACGACTTATTACAGTCCTACAGACATTGTAACCAACCGGAACTTTTGATTTACAGTGAGAATCCTAACTACATTTTTCATTCTCTTTGCATTTTGCTAGGTAATTTGCATTTCCTCAGATAATTTACTGAAGCCGTGAGGCTCAACACAAGTAATGGAATATGCTAAAGCATCCAAAAAGCAATAAGCATTGTCAGAGCAATTCCCCCTTCAGTCTGCACAGACCTCAGCTGCTCTGAGCCCCGCTGATATGTGGGGAGACGGCATCAATCCATTCTGCTCAGCCTAGACTGTCATTTCACTGGAGGCAAAGGGAGGTTTTGTTGAGTTAAAAGGGCTGCTGAGTCATGGTAAGGCTGCCAGAAAAAGAAATCGAAAAGGAACACAAAACAGGCAACCCCAACATGTGTGCAGACAACAGACTACAAAAGCACAGCAAAGAAAGCACGAAAGGTACAACAACAGCAAAGCAACCAAGCTGATGGAAATGCGGATCTACAGATGGATGATGGGATATCTTGTTTAAGAGTTTGCACAGCAAGT